TCTTAGGTTGTCAAATCCCACTGAAGTTTGTGACAGCTGAGTTCACTTAACTTCTTTCAAGATCTATTTGGCACATGCAAGAATTAACACAGTGCACTCAGTTAAAATGTGTAAGGACTCTCTGTGATGCGAAGAGCACAAGAGGCTCCAGGCCCATTCAGCCTTGTTTTTTTTTCCTGAAATGGCTAACAAAGATGCCAGTTGTGTTTACAAAATACTAAGCAATCATCAGATATTACCAGCATTGTGTTACCACTGCCAGGATTGAATATCAACTGGTCAGAAGAGTGAAAAAACATCTCTGGTAATTTTCCTAACACCCAAGGCACTTATTCCCCTACCCTAATGTATTTTAATATATCTAAAATACAAATAAAGCTGTGGTGGATTGTCTGATTGCAGCACAGCGATAAGATTTCAAATACTTTTCATGGTTATTTATGATTCACATTAACTCACCAGAGACTCACACGACTGCACTATATTAGAATGTTCCTCAGGGTGCCCAACATTTCATTTATTAAAATAATCTAATCTCTTTAAACATTAGGGGGAAGAAGAGTAGCTATTTGGCTATCTCCTTCCCTTTCGTTTCAAAGTTTAAGGATCCACCCTGCTTTTGTGTTATATTAGCTGACACTGATGTAACTGAGGGAAGCAGAACGGAAGGTAGAGGTGGAGGTTGAATTTGAAGATAAATTGAACAAAAACATTGAAAACTTCTGGATAAGAAAAGCAAACAAACATCCAGTAGGCCTGTTCTCAGTGATTATGCCTTACCTCCTTGATACATCTCAACTTTTCCTTTTCAACCATACAAATACATAGCTTTTAAACATTTTTAGACTTTCTACTACTCTTGCCTTACCTAATACTGTACACCATACATTTTTTCCACCATACATAATGCCTGTACACCACACATTTTTTCTTAGAGTGAAACAGGTTTGCATAGAGTTGTTTTACTGTTTCCTGCCTATTTGTAGTCTGTCCTCTGTTCTTATTTTTAAAGTTCCTCGTACCATAAATCTCATTCTTTTTATCTTGCTGTTTCCAATGTTGGACAAAATCTTTGAATAATTCACCGATACTCTCCTTAACTGGTATAAGATATCATAACTATATTGCAATTTAAACCAGCTAATCTGCCTTCATATAGCACAAACTTTATCAATATAAAATTATTTAACTGTTATTTGGGCCTTCCTCCTAGTAGTGCAGGACAGCAGCGTACCATGAGAGCCTTCTAAGGGTGCTAGGAGATAATGTGCAATGTTAGCATGGTTAGGCGGACAAATGCATGACTCTCAAGATAAACTCTGAGACTTCAAATAGGAATCTATATTTCCAAAAACATTGTGACCTGTTGTGGTTCTTCTGAGTTTTTTTGAAGTGGAAGAATTGCTCTGTAACCAAAAAAAAATAAATAACAAGGGGTGCCTTGAGACTAAAAAAAGTTGAGAGCCACTGTTCAGTGCAGTAATCTCTGACGGATGTATAGCTCATGCTTCAGAAGTCGACACTTATGAAACAACCTGCCCAGAGAAGTTTCTTCTTAACTATTACCAGCCAGTTTCAGCTTTGAAACCTCAGGGTTTACATACCATATCATAGTTTTATGCTATCAAGTCTACCTAGGTGTATTCTTACCTTCATAAATAGGTACACCTCTTTGAATTCTATTATCCTGGCCTCAATTTAGAGCAGGGGTAGGCAATTATTTCAAGTGGAGGGCTGTTTAATGAGCTTTGGTGAGCTGTTGTAGACTGCAAGGGTACACTCTTGTCAAACTGCTAAGTCCCAGCCTTTGAAAGATGCCCCACCGCCCAGACACCATCTGGAGATTAGAAGTCCTGCCCCTCACCCCTGACCTTTGTCACTGGAAATCCCTCCCCTTGCCCTAGAAGCACCCTTTCTGGGAGGAGGGTTTGCTGTCTTGGAACCAGAAGTCCTGCTCTGTCACATGGTCTGTGACATAAGATGGCCCACCTGCCTGACACCAAACCTTGCCCTGCTCGCCGCCATGATGGTTTTAGAAACCTGTGCCCCCATCACGTGGTCCCTGACATCAGAAGGTCCACCCCTTAACTGGAAAATACTGCCCCTCCATGTGGCCACCCTCATGGTGTATGCAGCAGAGCTCATCCAGGCAGTGTAGATGCAGTCCATGCCCAGCCTGTGGCTGCTCCCTTGCACTCTACATGGAGCCAAGCTCTGTCCACTCCCACCCAAGGCTTCCACTATCCCCAGTGCTGTGCTCCCACTCAGCCCCGGTCCCAGCCTATGCCCATAGCTTTGATGCACTTGTCTATTCATAGGTGGCTGCTGATCACGCCGGGTGGGTGGAGTGGGTAGAAGGCAGCTGGGAGCTGGTGCTCGGGCAGGAGCCACACAGCTGCAGCTTTTCCCACCATGTCCCTGCCTACCACCACTTCCCCTCCCTATCTGCTGCCTGGAGCACTGCAGCAGGGACAGGAAGAGCCGCCACTGTGGTCACTGGCCAGGGCCAGAGTTAGGGCCCTCTGACAGGCAAGGGTGGGAGTGCAGCATATGCTGCCCTGGGTGGGAGCAGGCAAGGCTTGGCCCCATGTGGAGTACAGCAGAAGCAGCTGTGGGTCAGGCCAGATATAAATAATTGGTGAGCGCCAGATTCAGTCAGCTGGTGGACCGGATGTGGCCCATGGGCCAGATTTTGCCCACCCTGGATTTAGAGGGACTGAATGTTTTCTGTCTCCAGTCCGATTTTCCAGCTAATACACTACAGACCATTATACAGATTGTAGCTTACCTTTGCCTTCAGTGAATTAAGAATTTGGCTCAAATTTATCACAGTGGAGTTGTGTCTGAAATTTATACTACAGTCAGAGGCCCTTTTCTGATTAAACTTACAACACTTGACACTTTCCAGCCTTCCAGCATTTAACTTGATATTAAAGAACTTCTGAAAAATGTTATTTCTGATTTCTAGTCTCATTCATTTCCTTTCAATATGTAACTATTTGTGCGTGCTATATGAACCAGATGACAATTCCTATGTTCCTTCAGAAACGTGAGAAGTCTCACTGAAACTTATAAGATGATTTATGTGCTGAGAGGGAAGAAAATGCATCCAGTTCCTTTTGGTACCACAGCCTAAGATCTTTCCAGCAAAACACTTAAGCATGCACTTAACATGAAACACATAAGTATTTACTTCTAATTTAAGAATATGCTTAAAGGCTTTGACAGGTGAAAATAAGGGTTCCATTTTATAACAGTTCTTGTCTATAGTCATGTAGGCAGTGACTGCAACGGGTGCATGATTAGGCTTCAGACCACAGTCTTGAGTCTGAGTGACCCATCACACTAATTTGGTAAAGGCACAGCAGACAAGGGATTGATGTGGCTGCATTCAGTCACCTTTGCTTCTCAGGCTTGCATGGCCTACATACAGCTGGGTTGACTAGGGGTTGGCCTTCATGGCAACCCCAAAGTAAAGCTTGCATTCAGGTCTATAGCATGCAGCTTTAACCGCTCTGCCATATGTCTCTTATTAGGCTTGGATACAGAAAGGCAATTTTAAAAACAACAAATGTTACACATCGATTTCCTTTCTCACTGTCTCCAAATTGTTCATTGCAATTCTTTTCCAAAAATATTATTTTTCCTCTATTTAACAGCAATTATTCAAATACTTAACTGACAATGCTTCTGAATTTTGCTGTTCAGACATCCCCCCCAACTCTAATTGTATTATTCAGTAACTTATGCTTATTTTTGTTGTTTTACATATGTTAATTCTTATCAGACTGCTGATACTTAAAAAAAACCCTTATACGTATGGCAGAGACTAAACTTTTTGCCTAGCCTTTACATATGTACTTTCTTAATCTACAAGACTTTGTTCCAACATTCTTGCTGAGAGATCAGCAGAATGAATTTTGATTACTGTCTGTCTAAAACTCCCTTGTCTCTACTTTGGATTGAATCTGCCTCTCAGCAAAGCTGATTAGCTCAGAAGCAGTGGTGTAGGGATGCCCTTGAACTCTTCTGCTATTTAGACTCTTCTGAAAATGTTAACTTTGATGCCTGTTGTTAGGTGCTCAAATCCATATTTCATCATTTAAATAACAAGAGCCCTTTCTTACATCTTGGCTAACCTCAAAAAACTTGAGGTGGAATTGATCAAACGTACACAAGTTTCAGTAAGTGGTGTAATTATTTCAGGAGCAGATGTTTGGTGGAGAGGGCCCACAGACTGCCTGCACTGGCCAAAGCCAGCAGGTTGGGGGCCTTCCTGCACACCTACAAGTGGACTCACTGAGACTGCCAAGTGTAGCCAAGTGGCTAGGCCACCCCTGATTGGTTCCTCCCCCATCATCATCAGTCACAGGCATGTCAGTTGCAGTCAGGCAGCAGAGGTACCCATGCTCACCCTGGCTGGGTTCTTGGGTGGGCTCCCACACATCTACCCAGAGACCTTCATGCCCCCTGCTAGTGGGCACAGTCCCAGGGAGCCTGACTGGGCTTCAGGGCAAGACTGAGCACCCCTCCCACACTCTCCCTGTCATCGTCAGTCATAGGCATGTCAACTGCAGTCAGGCACCAGAGGCACCTATGCTCCCCTGTCACTGCAACCCTGTTCATAGACATTACAGTCAGAAGGGACCTCAACAGGTCATCGAGTCCATCCCCTTGCCCTGGGCAGGAAAGGGTACTGGGGTCAGATGACCCCAGCCAGATGCCTGTCCAGCCTTCTCCTGAAGACCCCCCCAAGGGAGGGGAGAGCCCCACCTCCCTTGGAAGCCTGTTCCAAATTCTGGCCACCCTTACAGTGAACAAGTTCTTCTTGATATCCAGCCTAAACCTGCTCTCCATCAATTTGTGACCATTATTCCTTGTTACCCCCAGAGGTGCCTTAATGAACAGAGCATCTCTGGTCTGGTTCCTTGCTGTACCCCCGCAAATGAATATCTAGTTGGCCACAAGATCCCCTTCTTTTGCAGATGCTAAAGAGCAACTGCCTGAACAGGGACTTGAACCCTAGACCCTCAGATTAAAAGTCTAATGCTCTACCAACTGAGCTAGCCAGGCTCTTATACTAGCCAGGCACTTATGCTTCCTTGGGCTGTGCTTGCTCATGGAGGCCACAGGTATCCCTGAGTGGGCTCCTGCACAACCACCCAGGGACCCAATGCCCCTACAAGTGGGTACAGCTCCAGGGAGCCCAACTGGGCTGCAGGACATGGCCAAGCACCCTTTCCTGACTCCTTCTTTCATCATTAGCCACCGTGCTGACTCAGCTGTGTAACAGCCCGGGGGCAGGGTCAGCTGGGGGCTCAGCCAGAGCAGCCGAGTGTGGGTGAGTGGTAGCATGCCTCTCTGTGTGCGCCAAACTTCTGTACTGTCATGGGTTTAGACTGGGTCCTAAGCACTTAAACTGATAAAAATGTAATGTCTATACCTGGTCTTTAAGCTCCAGTTTAGGGGAACATGTGTAAGCATGTATTTAAACTCATTCCTATTCAGGAAAGACAGTAAGGCATGTATACTTAAGTCCTTGAGTGCTGTCCTAAATAGGACCCTTTCTTGGATCAGAGCCATTGAGTACTTGAAAGGCATTTTTCATGAAGATGAAATCCATTTGCATTGTTCCCTCTAGTACTTACCCTTATGAGTTTGGCCACTACAAACTGATCATACTGATATCATTAGATTCTAGATGGTCCCCAAAGGTAACTTAATTTGTCTGGTTAAGACAGTTTCTGAGCACTGGGTCTAAAATTGCTTCTGACCAGGGACTTTCCTGTTTTACCTCAAACTCAAATTACAGACTGGATTCTGATTCCCCCTATTCACATGGATATCATATTGATTTGAAAGGGAATAACATGGTATTGAAAAGGAGTAAGGTTGTGAGGCCTTATATCAACCCCCCCTCCCCAAAACCTTCCAAGCTTTGCCTTTCTGACGGTTTTAGTCTATTTTAAAGTATTTAACAGGTTTCTTGTTTATTATCTTTAATACTCCATGATACATAAAAAACCCTAAAAAAACTTAAGTCCTTAATATTATCCAAACTAGCTTCTGCAACATCAGCTAAAATAAATCATATTTCTTTTTTGCTGACTGAGTATCATCCTTCATCAAACAGTGACACACGAGTTTTGATAAGTATTTTGTTTTTGAATCTCTCTTGTAACCTCTGTTTCTTGGTATTTAAAAACTCAGTTTTCTGTTTCTGACATAAAATTTATTTTTTATATCATGGAAGCAACTTGAATTTAAATACTTATTTTACTACAATCCTTGTACAGCAGAAGGTACGTTCCTACCTTAGCCGTCCTTTGCATAATAATTTGTATTACCTGCCTCTGAGTGTATCACAAATTTTGAATAGACTCATCAAAATGCAGTTACATAAAGAAAAAAATAAAGCGAAGTCACCAGTCTACAAACAGCAAGTTGAAACAAGTTGTTTTCCATTTTACTCTCCAGCAAATATGTCTGTCTCTGCCTTTAGAGGTATTTGTACCCCATTAACTGAACATTTAAAGTTAATTTTTAGACATTGCTTTCCATTCTCAAAACACCCACTGACAAGTCAAGAATTTCTCTTTTGGCTCTTTCCCATGTGCAGTTAAATTGAATTTCCTCCCCCCACAAACTACGTGTCTGCACAATCTCTAAGAGAACAAATTAATCTTGTATTGAATATATGAATTAATGAATATTCCATTAACTCTACATGCAGTTCCTTGGCAATGCCCTTCCACAGTAGCAAGGCCATTTCTCCTGCCTGCATGTATTAAATTCAGAGCTAATTTCACAAGGTAAGATCCTGCACTCATTACTTAGGCAAAAACTGACATCAGGGATTTTTTTTCCATAGCAAGCAGCCCAGGATGAGGGCAAGAGTACAGAAATAAGTCTGGTAGAGGCAAGTACTCTGTCTACATAAGTAAATTATCATACGTTTGAGTAATAAACATCAGGTGATTGAATGAAAGGTGATTGAACTTGTAACATCTATGGTAAAATAAAATAAAATTAAACTTAAAATTGCTTTCACACAGAAACATCAGAAGAACTTAAACACCTAAACCAGCTATAATTAGCTTGAAATATGTCTCACTTCCACTGCTATACTTAACACACCACCTGTACGAATACTGACACCGTTTGTCATTATGATATAACATTTATTGGCACTTTGTTAATAATATATGTGTGTGTATTGTTACTTAGAGATATCATGCATGCACACACATACACACATGGTTTATACCTCCAAGGGGTTGGGGGCAACTAGCGGAAGATACTTCTGCAAGGTTCCTCTGAGAGGTTTTTCCTCCAATTCTCCCCATAGAAGTTATTTCTAGTTTTCCATCATGCTGGGGTAGGCAGAGAAGATTTTCCTGTGTCCAGGAACCTGATCTGTGAGGTTACAAAATAGATGGGCTGACCCTTCCCTCTTGGGAAGGGTCATATGTTATCTCCAAGGGCTTTGCAGGTGCACAATGCTGACTGCCCTTTATAGTGACTGCTTCTCTGACTCCATCTGCTTATAATCTGACCTACTTTAGTCCAAAGTGAGGAGCATCAAATCTACTCCAGACCTAAAGAAGGGCTTATGTTGGCATCCAGGCAGCATACAATGGACTCATGTCTCTACGCTTGCTTTCCTCCATATAGATTTAACTCTCCTAAAATGGCACAAGAAGAAGGGATCTTCCGGCCAAGAAACATGGAATAGTCTTTCAGAAAATGGCAGAATCCCCATCTCTCAGGTCATTTAAGTTCAGGAAGTTGGAACTTATAATTCCCAGGCCATAGGTCCAAATGAGATGTTTGAGGATTGCAGACTGTAGTCTGCACTGTACCATAGCAATAATGTCTTAGTGGAATGGCAATGGTTCTCACTAACCAAGATAAAGTGGCTCTGCTCCGTGCTTTTTCTCTAAATGCCACGTGCTTCATGGCATGATCCCTATAAGAGGCTCCTATACATCCTGAGCATCCCACCTTGTGAAGCCAATGTCTTCCACATTCTGCTGTAAGCAAGACTTTCTGCATAGGGGACAGGATTTATACATATGGTCCAGCAAACTATTTAAGGTGGAAGCATAATATTAGGTACAAAATACTTTCCACAACTGGATCAGAACCTCAGTTTCAGGATGATAAAGCAAATCTAAACTTTAGGCCTCGCTGTTTTATATACATGTACATACATACATACATACATACATACATATGTGCATGTGTACACACACACACACACACACACACACACACACACACACACACAGTAAAACCTTATTAATTTGAACTGCAGGGACTAAAATATACTGACTTTGAAATAAACAAGTTCAAAATAAATGTACTGACGGTAATTTGCATGTATGTAAATTCCCGTGGGTACACAGACTTAGTCTACCTGTATGGTGGTCCCTTAGTGAAGACCTTACTAACTGATAAGAACAACTTAAGGAATTATCCCAGTGACTACTTAAGCAGATTTCATGGTATGTAGCATAAGGAGTTTTTAATGTAGATCAACAGCAATGACCTTTTTCTTCCACTTAAATCAACGCAAGTGTGAAACTGTCCTGCCAACGCCCCCCTTCCCCCACCCCCCCATCCCACCAAACTCCCTGCAGGGCTGGCACCCCAATCCTGCAAAACTTCCCCTGAACCCACATAACTACAGTTGCTGCCACCAGCTCCCACCCCTGAAGATTTCCCTGTACCTGACACTTGTTCTGAGCCCCAGCCACTCTGCATGCTCCCACCCCCTCAGGCACTCCCAGCTAAGGTTTGAATTACACTTTGAATCTTGTGGGGGGCGGTCAACAAAAAAAAAAATAATGAAATGCTTAGGGCTGAACAGCGACTGGTTTAACAAGTCCACCTAAGTGAAGGAGAAATCTGAGTGGAGAATCCCTCCAGGTTATGATTTTCAAATCTTACAGGGGGGGTCTCATCTCTTATGGGGGGGCTAAGCTCCCCCAATCTCCCCTTTAATTTGCACCCTGTTCCCAGCCTCCAAGGATTCCCATGTCTGCAGAGACAAGCCCTTGTGCCTAGCTGCCCTAGCTGCACCTTACTCTCAAACAGTAAGGCAGGGAGGATGCAGCCTCCACCCTTCCTCCAGTTCTCCAGTTAACTTATTGCATGGCATTCCCCATTGGAACCACACCATGGTTCACAGCCTGGAAAAACTGCAGTTTGGCATGATCAGAGGTTGGCCCAGGAGTGCCCAAGAAGGCAGGAGCACGTGGAGTGGCCTAGGTACAGGACAGAGGTGCAGGGGAGTCTGCAGGGGTGGGAGGTGGAGGCAGCAGCCCCAGCTACATGCAAGAGTGGGGGTGGGAAGAATCAATGGTTGGTGGGACAGTCCCACACTCAGTAAGTTAATAAGGTCCACACATGGGTGAACTAAGTCTGTATGTACCCATAGCAATTTGCATATATGCAAATTTCCACCAGGATGCTTATTTGTAACCTATTTGTAGTATTTCAGTTGGTATTTTTTATTTTCCTGCATTTCAAATTAACAAGGTTTTCCTGGTCCAAGGGACCAGAAAATAGTTTTGAACTTCAAAGTAGACATTTTTTTTTAATTATCTGTATCGTAAGGCATTCAATCACCTATCCTTTCAGCTGGGGAGTAACAACAGCTTTGAGGTATCCAACACTTTGAACTATCCAATACTGAATTAACAAGGTTTTACTCTGTCTGTGTACATCTATATATATATATAGGAATCCAAATACCTCCACCTACAATCTTATTATCTTTTTTTTTTTTTTTAAGTAGTAAATCATTGTTGTTGATTTGTATAACGGCCAGATAACATGCTGTAAAACCGTAAGTGCAAAATCAGCTCTCGAGCCAGTGAAGAAATGGTGAGGAAAATTTATATCCTTCACTGTTTGAATGCCTTGCTCTGTCAGAAATGCCACACATGTTATCTCCCTGTTTAAAAGGACGGGTTGTTTATGTGCAGATCAAACTGCTTGCCCAACCTTTCCTGCTGTGGGTTAGATTAAGAGCAGAAGAGACACCAAGGTACTAATCCCTGGGAGAA